AAAGGGTAAAGTTAGTTTGAGCGTTTATGACAAAGAGCATTATGGAAGATATATACAAGCAATAGATACAAACGGTAAGCGGTTTCATTAGCTTTGTCAAAACTTACTAACATTTATTTTGACAGTGACTTTGACTCTGACATTGGACGACACAGCGATACTGAAGAATATGAACTATTGTGTGAAGCACAGCAATGGGAAGAGTTGCAATACTTTTGTAAGTGAGAACGTTTATTTTTACAGTAGTGAAGTCGTTTGTGAAAACGTTAGTGAGGTGAAGTGGTTGGCGCTTTGTAAATATTTAAGGTTTAAGTCGTGTTGTCGTTTGTGTTGTAAAATATACGTTAACGGTTTTGTAAATTGTCAAACCGTTATCTTGGGTAAGGTGGAACGCAGTGCCTCCATAACCAAGATAGGTATACTAACTGTAGAGTCTGCAATATTTGAATTTTCGGAGCAAATCGGAGCATCTGAACCTTGATTTGTATCGGCTTGCTCAAAATTAGTTTGAATTGGAGTGGATGAATTAAAATCTGGATGATTTAATGTTTCATTAAATAATGCCATAATTTTTTCTCTTTTTTCATTAATAAACTTAGTGATCATTGTATCTTTATCTGTTAGATCGATTGATTTGATATACTGCATCATGAACTGGAATATTTTCGAACAATGAACTCGATTCTATGGAACCATATGGAGAAATCTCGTTCTGAGCCAAAGAAAGATCACTTACGTTGTATTGTTTGATAGAAAAAATTGTTTTCTCAAGTTCTTTTTGAAAGCAGTCAAGAATATAATTTTTGTGCTATCAGTGATAACGGTTTTTATATGGCGCTCGATCTTCTGGTTATTTTTGATGCGTTATATTTATCTTAATTGGATTTGAGATATCTTCTTAATAGCTTCATAAATGTTTGGATGTTTTAACGAAGAAAATTCTGAATGCATACTCTCGAGGCAATCATTAGTGAATATTGCAATTGCATTATTATATTGAGATATTAAATTGTAGTGCGGCAACCAAACTTTGTTTGAAATAATCAATATAATCTTTGATCGAATCAACTTTATTTTGATTAATTATATGCATTGTAAGTACAAATTCTTCATGAGACATGAATGAGTAATAGAATATAGCTTAAATAAAGAATTTTGTAAAGTATTGAAATTTTTTGTATAAAGTGCTACAAGTTTCCTGTGTAAAGCTTGTTTGAAATGAAATAGGCATCCAATTATACGGACTTTAGGGAAAATTTGTTGAAGTGCCTCTATCATTCCCTTTTCAAATCACAATGAATTTGAATTAGCTTTGAAAATTGAATACCCTTGACAGTAAAAAATATATTCAAATGCCTTCTTATAAGATTCAAATGTGCGGTTTTTCATGAATATAAATAAAATGGTAGATATTGATTTGTTGAAGGTTCACAAATCATAATTGTTAGCATCTGTCCTTTTTGAAAATTTTTGTGTAATTTTAAAAGTTCCATCGCAAAATAAATCTGTGGCTTCTTTTGCAAATTGAATTGCCTTCTCAAAACCAAAAAACATCGTCTCACAATTTGCTTGAAAATCATGGCCAATGAAAAACTGCTCGCCATTTATTAAACAAAAATTAGCAATTTCATCGTCTGTAATTTTTTCTCCAACAGAAAATTTTCTGGACTTATTATAAACTTCCCTGACCAATGAATCTTTAATTAATGGATTTTCATCAGTACCAACAGCAAGTTCTGTCATAAATTTTTTAATCTGCTGAAAAGTGCTGTTGTCTTCAGAAAATTTTGCCATTGCCTTATTGTATATTTCTGTCAGAGTCATTGATTTATGAAGATCATTTTTTTTCATTTTGTAACTTTTTAAATTGTCTGCATTCGGGTATATGTTCCTTAGTTAGTATACATAAGTCGTGTACTGAGGCACTGCGCTCCTCCGTACACCACTTAGCGGTTTTGACACTTTACGAAACCGGTAACGTATATTTTACAATACAACCATAACACCAACTTAACCTTAAATATTTACAAAACCGTTAACGTATATTTTACAACACAAACGACAACACTAACTTTGTTGTAAACAGAAATTCATCAAAAGTGACACCTCAGAAAAGCTAAAATATTGAATTTTTGGAACTTTTGATAGAGCACGTTTTTAAATATTAATTAAAGTAAATGTATATTTTGTAAAGATTCTTTTTAATAAAAAAATAAAATTTTGAAGAAGAACACAAAATCTTCTGAAAAATAATATCACATAAACTCATATTATTTTCTAATATATAACTATTTTATATAAAAATCAAATTCAATGATCTTAAAAGCGAAGGATAAACCTCAAAAATTACGAATATAATGAGTGGGAATATAATGCTTATCTATCATAAAACCATATGAAATATCAATTTTTGCTTTACGCCTAATTTTTGACGACAATTAGCAAAAAATGTTAAATGTTAACACTCAGTCCATTTGAATATGAAAAATAAAATTGACTTTGATTAAATGTTTTTATTTATCATGCAATTCTTCTTGCGACCAAAGATTTGAATAAAATTTCAAAAAATAAGATAGCTTAAAAAATAATATACGGTAGTGTTTACTAATAGATGAATAGTATATAAATTCTATTAAAATGGATTTGATCCAAAAAAATATAAAACCAAAAATAATTGTTATAATTTAAATGAAGAAGTAATTTAAAACGATTTTATTTATGATCAAATTTTATATATTTTTTTGGATCAAATCCATTTTAATAGAATTTATATACTATTCATCTATTAGTAAACACTACCGTATATTATTTTTTAAGCTATCTTATTTTTTGAAATTTTATTCAAATCTTTGGTCGCAAGAAGAATTGCATGATAAATAAAAACATTTAATCAAAGTCAATTTTATTTTTCATATTCAAATGGACTGAGTGTTAACATTTAACATTTTTTGCTAATTGTCGTCAAAAATTAGGCGTAAAGCAAAAATTGATATTTCATATGGTTTTATGATAGATAAGCATTATATTCCCACTCATTATATTCGTAAATTTTGAGGTTTATCCTTCGCTTTTAAGATCATTGAATTTGATTTTTATATAAAATAGTTATATATTAGAAAATAATATGAGTTTATGTGATATTATTTTTCAGAAGATTTCATTCTATATGCCTATGAAAAGTACTCTCAAAACTAACTTTTTCCTAATTATAATTAAATCTAGAATATTGTATTATGCTTAGTATTATTTCATTTTTCTCATTCAATTTAGAATTTACAAATGTCAAAAAATTGAGAGCTGTCACTTTTGATGAATTTCTGTTTATTACAACTTAACCTTAAATATTTACAAAGCCACCAACCACTTCACCTCACTAATGTTTTCACAAACGACTTCACTAATGAAAAAATAAACGTTCTCACTAACGTTCCCACTAATGTTCTCACTTACAAAAGTATTGCAACTCTTCCCATTGCTGTGCTTCACACAATAGTTCATATTCTTCAGTATCGCTGCTGTCGCTCCAATCGTCAGAGTCAAAGTCACTGTCAAAATAAATGTTAGTAAGTTTTGACAAAGCTAATGAAACACGCTTACCGTTTGTATCGTATGCTTGTATAAACTTTCCATTCTTCATTCCTTCATAAACGCTCAAACTAACTTTACCCTTTCTCCCTCGTATCTGATAGAATGTATTTTCACGAGGAACGAAGAACAAATTCTTGAACTCATGACCGTTGTAGTTTGTTATCTCAATAGTTTTCGTCATTTATATAAAAATAAACTTAAAATAAACTTAAAAATAAATGATATCACCACCCTCACACGTATGAAAACATAGCACAAAAATAAATTTAGGTGAAGTGGTGAGATCTCACCTCTTTTTTCACCTGTTTTTTCACCCTGTTGAATTCATTGCTTTATAACTCTCTTCCTTTCTCCAACTCTTCTAACTTCTTCTTAAGTTCAGCAATGTTGTCCTCATGAAGTTTAATCTTCCTTAATATACCTTCTTTATCTAATGGTTGCTTTATCTTTCTAAACTGAACTCTACCATCCTTCATAGTATGAATGTAAAAACCTTCTGGAATAGTTCCTGATTTAATGTATTCTACCAAAAACTTTTGTTTCATTGCTTCAGTGACTTTAGTCGTCATTTTACTCTAAGGTGAAGCTAGCACAGCGATAATGGATTTCATGACTTTTTAGTATTTCATGCAATCTTAACAGATAGCCTTACAAGTACTTCCAGTGTCCCTAGCTGTCCCTCCTTTTTATATAACTCCATGACATTTATAATCTCGCGAAACTTAACAGGTAGCATAACAGATTAAAATCAGATGAGGTTTTGAACCAAAATTTCTAAGCAATGTTGTCAAGGATTTTTGAGGAACTAGGGACAGAGTGTGGCAAAGTCCAAGATTTAATTTATCTTCATCTGTTTCATCAGCTATCTCATCTAATATGCCAATATTTTATTCATAACTCGTGGCAAACTCACTAACTTTCATTATGTTCATCTACATGCTTCATCTGATAGAAAGTATGACTTTCATTAACTCTGTGAGATAATGAAAACTACTAGGGACAGAGACCATGGCAAAGTTTATGACTTTCATTATTTCCAGAACTTAATGAAAACTACTAGGGACAGAGACCATGGCAAAGTTCATGATTTAATTTATTCTCTCACTAACAACAAACACAAACTCCAACACTAACGACAAAAATAAATGTCCTCACTTCTTAACAAAGTAATATGTGCTTTTTACACCACCATAGCTCAAACGTTTCTTTTCGAACACCGATTGAAACTTATTTTGAGCCATTGGCTTTAGTCTCTTTTTCTTCAAATACGCCAAGAAATCTTCTTCACATCTTTTCACTTCATAGCCTTCTTTAAACCCCTCCTTGTTAAGTTCTATGAAATCCTTTATCTCATTCTTTGTTGCAATGGCTTCTTCACGAACGACATCGTGAACTATTTCAACACTGTTCTCATGTATGACCTCCTCACTGTTCTCATGAACTATTTCATCACTGTTCTCATGTATGACCTCCTCACTGTTCTCATGAACTATTTCATCACTGTTCTCATGAACGACCTCCTCACTGTTCTCATGAACTATTTCATCACTGTTCTCATGAACGACCTCCTCACTGTTCTCATGAACTATTTCATCACTGTTCTCATGTATGACCTCCTCACTGTTCTCATGAACTATTTCATCACTGTTCTCATGTATGACCTCCTCACTGTTCTCATGAACTATTTCATCACTGTTCTCATGTATGACCTCCTCACTGTTCTCATGAACTATTTCATCACTATTCTCATGTATGACCTCCTCACTGTTCTCATGAACTATTTCATCACTGTTCTCATGTATGACCTCCTCACTGTTCTCATGAACTATTTCATCACTGTTCTCATGTATGACCTCCTCACTGTTCTCATGAACTATTTCATCACTGTTCTCATGTATGACCTCCTCACTGTTCTCATGAACTATTTCATCACTGTTCTCATGTATGACCTCCTCACTGTTCTCATGAACTATTTCATCACTGTTCTCATGTATGACCTCCTCACTGTTCTCATGAACTATTTCATCACTGTTCTCATGAACGACCTCCTCACTGTTCTCATGAACTATTTCATCACTGTTCTCATGTATGACCTCCTCACTGTTCTCATGAACTATTTCATCACTGTTCTCATGTATGACCTCCTCACTGTTCTCATGAACTATTTCATCACTGTTCTCATGAACGACCTCCTCACTGTTCTCATGAACTATTTCATCACTGTTCTCATGTATGACCTCCTCACTGTTCTCATGAACTATTTCATCACTGTTCTCATGTATGACCTCCTCACTGTTCTCATGAACTATTTCATCACTGTTCTCATGAACTATTTCATCACTGTTCTCATGTATGACCTCCTCACTGTTCTTATGAACTATTTCATCACTGTTCTCATGTATGACCTCCTCACTGTTCTCATGAACTATTTCATCACTGTTCTCATGTATGACCTCCTCACTGTTCTCATGAACTATTTCATCACTATTCTCATGTATGACCTCCTCACTGTTCTCATGAACTATTTCATCACTGTTCTCATGTATGACCTCCTCACTGTTCTCATGAACTATTTCATCACTGTTCTCATGTATGACCTCCTCACTGTTCTCATGAACTATTTCATCACTGTTCTCATGTATGACCTCCTCACTGTTCTCATGAACTATTTCATCACTGTTCTCATGTATGACCTCCTCACTGTTCTCATGAACTATTTCATCACTGTTCTCATGTATGACCTCCTCACTGTTCTCATGAACTATTTCATCACTGTTCTCATGTATGACCTCCTCACTGTTCTCATGAACTATTTCATCACTGTTCTCATGTATGACCTCCTCACTGTTCTCATGAACTATTTCATCACTGTTCTCATGTATGACCTCCTCACTGTTCTCATGAACTATTTCATCACTGTTCTCATGTATGACCTCCTCATTGTCTTTCATAAGCGTTTCAAAGTCTCCTTTACTCATTACTTCAATCTCATGCTGTTCACAGTAGTACTTAAACTCACTGTATATGTTTTGTCATGACTTCATCGTAAATGTTTTGTCATGACTTCATCGTAATGAACGTATATGTTTTGTCATGACTTCATCGTATATGTTTTGTCATGATTTCATCGTATATGTTTTGTCAAACATGAACGTAAACTCTATGTCAAACATGAACGTAAATGCTTTGTTATGATTTCATCGTAAATGTTTTGTCATGACTTCATCGTATATGCTTTGTCGAACTTAAACGTATATGTTTTGTCAAAACTTCTTCGTATATGTTTTGTCATGACTTCTTCGTAAACTCTATGTCAAACATGAACGTAAATGTTTTGTCATGACTTCTTCGTATATGTACCAGATGCAAAGTATTTTGACGGCTTGTTTTGCTCCAGACACTAAGCTTCCTAAAGACTGGTTTAGGAACCAAAGCACCATTGAACTCTTAAGTGAAGCACAGCGAGACATACTTTTTTCTGAAAACAGTGAAGAACAGCGAGTAGGTAAAAAATCCCAGTCGCCAAAACTCTATGAAAACCGTGAAAAATTGCCAAACGGTTTGAGAGGATATTATGTTCATAGACTTCTTGTAAATAATGTGGCACAATGGGCTTCAGCTCGCTATTCATGGTATGTTTGTAAACTTCTTGACGAACTTCACAGACAAGAACACGAAGATATGGAAAAGAAACTTCTTCATATATGTTTTGTCATGATTTCATCGTTTATGTTTTCATTAATGATTTCATAAATGTTTTGTCATGATTTCTTCGTATATGTTTTGTCATGATTTCTTCGTATATGCTTTGTCAAACATAAACGTATATGTTTTGTCATGATTTCATCGTAATGAACGTATATGTTTTGTCAAAACTTCTTCGTAAATGCTTTGTCAAACATGAACGTAAACTCTATGTCAAACATGAACGTAAATGTTTTGTCAAGGTTTCATCGTATATGTTTTGTCATGACTTCATCGTAAATGATTTGTCATGATTTCTTCGTTAATGCTTTGTCAAAACTTCATCGTAAATGTTTTGTCATGACTTCATCGTAAATGCTTTGTCAAGACTTCATCGTATATGTTTTGTCATGACTTCTTCATCGTATATGCTTTGTCAAGACTTCATCGTATATGCTTTGTCATGATTTCATCGTATATGCTTTGTCATGATTTCATCGTAAATGATTTGTCATGAATTCATCGTAAATGTTTTGTCAAACATGAACGTATATGCTTTGTCAAACATGAACGTATATGTTTTGTCAAAACTTCTTCGTATATGTTTTGTCATGATTTCTTCGTAAATGTTTTGTCAAGGTTTCATCGTATATGTTTTGTCATGACTTCATCGTAAATGTTTTGTCAAGATTTAATCGTAAATGTTTTGTCAAAACTTCATCGTAATGAGTGTAAATGACCCAAAAATAATGTTTAGGTGAAGAGGTGAGATTTCACCTAATTTTTCACCTCTTTTTTCACCCTGTTGAATTTTCATGATTTCATCGTAAACTCTATGTCAAACATGAGCGTAAATGTTTTGTCATGATTTCATCGTATATGCTTTGTCATGACTTCATCGTAAATGTTTTGTCAAAACTTCTTCGTATATGTTTTGTCATGACTTCATCGTATATGTTTTGTCATGACTTCATCGTTAATGTTTTGTCATGACTTCTTCATCGTATATGCTTTGTCATGACTTCTTCGTATATGTTTTGTCATGATTTCTTCGTTAATGCTTTGTCAAAACTTCATCGTATATGTTCTGTCAAGACTTCATCGTAAATGATTTGTCATGACTTCTTCGTATATGTTTTGTCGAAACTTCATCGTATATGCTTTGTCAAGACTTCATCGTATATGTTTTGTCATGACTTCTTCATCGTATATGCTTTGTCAAGACTTCTTCGTATATGCTTTGTCAAGACTTCATCGTATATGCTTTGTCAAACATGAACGTAAATGTTTTGTCGAAACTTCATCGTATATGTTTTGTCAAACATGAACGTAAATGTTTTGTCATGACTTCATCGTAAATGTTTTGTCATGACTTCATCGTAAATGTTTTGTCAAAACTTCTTCGTATATGTTTTGTCATGACTTCATCGTAAATGTTTTGTCATGACTTCTTCGTATATGCTTTGTCAAGACTTCATCGTATATGTTTTGTCATGACTTCTTCGTATATGTTTTGTCATGACTTCATCGTAAATGTTTTGTCAAAACTTCTTCGTATATGTTTTGTGAAGAATATAACAACCACCTGAATTCAGACGGTTGCTTTTTATACAAAATTCACACAGGAAAATTCTTGAGTTTTGGTTGAAAGAATACGGTCAAGCCAAAAGTGGCTCGACCTCAAAACAAACATTTTATGATCTTACTAAGGCGTTATGAATGAATTCAAAGGTATTTGCATACATCCTGACCTCGTTCATTTTGTTGCTGAATGGTGCTCTGTAAAGTATGCATTTTATGTCAAAGATATTATGGACTCCATAGATAAGAAAGTTCATGAGAAGTTAGATGAAGAAGAACTCGAAGATACAGTAGAGAATGTAAAAACAAGCATTTTATGATCTTACTAAGGCGTTATGAATGAATTCAAAGGTATTTGCATACATCCTGACCTCGTTCATTTTGTTGCTGAATTCAGCAAAAATAATGTTTAGGGTAGATGGTTTTTAGGTGTCACTACGTCACCATGTCACCAGGTTAATTAACTTCTCTTAAAATTACTGACAACATGACATTTTGACAACAGTCCAGGAAATATATTTTATCGTATATGTTTTGTCATGATTTTATCGTATATGCTTTGTCATGATTTTATCGTAATGAACGTAAATGTTTTGTCATGATTTCATCGTATATGCTTTGTCATGACCTCATCGTAATGAGTGTAAATGTTTTGTCATGATTTCATCGTATATGTTTTGTCATGATTTTATCGTATATGCTTTGTCATGATTTCATCGTATATGCTTTGTCATGACTTCATCGTAATGAACGTAAATGTTTTGTCATGATTTCATCGTATATGCTTTGTCATGACCTCATCGTAATGAGTGTAAATGTTTTGTCATGATTTCATCGTATATGTTTTGTCATGATTTTATCGTATATGCTTTGTCATGATTTCATCGTATATGCTTTGTCATGACTTCATCGTAATGAGCGTAAATGATCCAAAAATAATGTTTACGTTCATGTTTTCAGGTTATTCAATAATTAATTATTTTTGAAAGAACTGAAGGTGTCACTATGTCACCATGTCACCAGGTTATTTAACTTCTCTGAAAAAATGAGACAACATGACATTTTGACAACACAGCAGGGGAAGGCAGTTATGAATTATTTTTGAAGAACTGAAGGTGTCACTATGTCACCATGTCACCAGGTTATTTAACTTCTCTGAAAAAATGAGACAACATGACATTTTGACAACAACACAGGAAATAAATGTTTACGTAAATGTTTTGTCAAGATTTCTTCGTATATGTTTTGTCATGATTTCATCGTATATGCTTTGTCATGACCTCATCGTAATGAGTGTAAATGTTTTGTCATGATTTCATCGTATATGTTTTGTCATGATTTTATCGTATATGCTTTGTCATGATTTCACCGTATATGCTTTGTCATGACTTCATCGTAATGAGCGTAAATGATCCAAAAATAATGTTTACGTTCATGTTTTCAGGTTATTCAATAATTAATTATTTTTGAAGAACTGAAGGTGTCACTATGTCACCATGTCACCAGGTTATTTAACTTCTCTGAAAAAATGAGACAACATGACATTTTGACAACACAGCAGGGGAAGGCAGTTATGATTATTTTGAAGAACTGAAGGTGTCACTATGTCACCATGTCACCAGGTTATTTAACTTCTCTGAAAAAATGAGACAACATGACATTTTGACAACACAGCAGGGGAAGGCAGTTATGAATTATTTTTGAAGAACTGAAGGTGTCACTATGTCACCATGTCACCAGGTTATTTAACTTCTCTGAAAAAATGAGACAACATGACATTTTGACAACAACACAGGAAATAAATGTTTACGTAAATGTTTTGTCAAGATTTCTTCGTATATGTTTTGTCATGATTTCATCGTATATGCTTTGTCATGACTTCTTCATCGTAATGAACGTAAATCAGACAAAAATAATGTTAGGTGAAGAGGTGAGATCTCACCTCTTTTCTCACCTCTTTTCTCACCTCATGAATTTTCATGATTTCTTCGTAAATGTTTTGTCATGATTTCATCGTATATGCTTTGTCAAGACTTCATCGTAATGAGCGTAAATGACCCAAAAATAATGTTTAGGTGAAGAGGTGAGATCTCACCTCTTTTCTCACCTCTTTTCTCACCTCTTTTCTCACCTCATTGAATTTTCATGATTTCTTCATCGTAATGAGCGTATATGCTTTGTCATGATTTCATCGTATATGCTTTGTCATGACTTCATCGTAATGAACGTAAATGATTTGTCAAAACTTCATCGTATATGCTTTGTCAAGACTTCTTCATCGTAATGAGCGTAAATGTTTTGTCATGATTTCATCGTATATGTTTTGTCAAACATGAACGTAAATGATTTATCAAGATTTCTTCGTATATGCTTTGTCATGACTTCTTCATCGTAATGAACGTATATGCTTTGTCATGACTTCTTCATCGTAATGAACGTATATGCTTTGTCAAGACTTCTTCATCGTAATGAGCGTAAATGTTTTGTCATGATTTCTTCATCGTAATGAGCGTATATGCTTTGTCAAGACTTCTTCATCGTATATGCTTTGTCAAACATGAACGTATATGCTTTGTCGAAACTTCTTCATCGTAATGAGTGTAAATGTTTTGTCAAGATTTCTTCGTATATGTTTTGTCATGACTTCTTCATCGTATATGCTTTGTCAAGACTTCTTCGTATATGCTTTGTCAAGACTTCATCGTATATTCTTTGTCAAACATGAACGTAAATGTTTTGTCAAGACTTCATCGTATATGCTTTGTCAAACATGAACGTAAATGTTTTGTCGAAACTTCATCGTATATGCTTTGTCAAACATGAACGTAAATGTTTTGTCATGACTTCATCGTAAATGTTTTGTCAAAACTTCTTCGTATATGTTTTGTCATGACTTCTTCGTAATGAGTGTAAATGATTTCATATGATTGTTTCCCTCGAAAAACCGAGAGAAGAGATTCCATATGAAAATCGCAAGAATTTGGCTCCTGGTTTGAAATATTATTATGTTCATAGACTTCATCGTAAATGTTTTGTCAAGACTTCTTCGTATATGTTTTGTCATGACTTCATCGTAAATGTTTTGTCATGACTTCTTCGTATATGCTTTGTCAAGACTTCATCGTATATGTTTTGTCATGACTTCTTCGTATATGTTTTGTCATGACTTCATCGTAAATGTTTTGTCAAAACTTCTTCGTATATGTTTTGTGAAGAATATAACAACCACCTGAATTCAGACGGTTGCTTTTTATACAAAATTCACACAGGAAAATTCTTGAGTTTTGGTTGAAAGAATACGGTCAAGCCAAAAGTGGCTCGACCTCAAAACAAACATTTTATGATCTTACTAAGGCGTTATGAATGAATTCAAAGGTATTTGCATACATCCTGACCTCGTTCATTTTGTTGCTGAATGGTGCTCTGTAAAGTATGCATTTTATGTCAAAGATATTATGGACTCCATAGATAAGAAAGTTCATGAGAAG